AAAAAAAAAAAAAAAGAAAGAAAAAAAAAAGAAGGTAATTTGGATTCGGTCCTTGGGTGACGTGGACATTTGCTTAGCTACTTCCAAGTAAACATATGCCAGAGAAACAGAAAACAGTATATATTACCTAATAAAATGATGGAGGAGAGTGAGATCAAAGAGAGGAAAGGGTATTCTGCTCAAAGGATATGTTTACAGCTTGAGCTGTTGTGATTATCCAGCCTTCGTGTTTAAATGGCTCTCAGCTTTTTCTATTAATAGCTCTGTGTGGTTGGTCTTCGTGAAGACACGATGCATTAAATTTGTTCTCGTGATTAGAATCTTGCGATCATGATTACAAGAAGGTATCTTCTTCATACCTCAAATTACTCTTTTTTTTTTAATAGAGTCTGAGATAATTGGGGGCTGTCATATTTGACATTCGTCCAACTTACCCACTTTATTGGGTCGTTATGGTGAGGAGAGTAAAAGACTGAGCTTGTTTCTCCTTTACCCTGCCTGCGTCCCTCTTGTGATCTTATCGCATTGGTAGTTAGCAGAGTGGAGCCCTACAGATGGGAAATTGCATTTCATTTCCAAAGTAATCTTCCCAGACAAGGCCATGCAAATCCCAGGATTCGGGACTTTCAGAGTCATCTCTGTTGTTCTGTCCAGTAATCATTCTCATTTGGCCTTCGGTTCGGGTCTGACTGGCACGTTCTCTTTCGTCACCGCTCTGTGACTCATTATTTTCATGACCACAGCCAATGTTTTTCCTTCCTTAATTAAAGTGTTCCAAAACAGTATTCTAGATGGAAAAGTATTGGCACGTGTCAGGTCACAGGCCACCACATGAATTCAACAGCAAACCTCATCACCATCCGTACCTGTGGGATGGCAGCCAGGGTGCCACAGCCGTCCTGTGTGGACCCTGCTGCCAAAAGGACCTGCTGTCCCGAGAGTGAGTGGCCGCAGTAAAACCATAGAGCTGGCTGCTGGTGTTGCGTTGCTGGCGTGGAGAACGTCACCTTCACCGTCTCTCCGTCCTCCTAATGCTTTTACATTGGAAATACAGTTCTTTAAACTTCACCGTTTCCTATTTTCTCCAAAAAATGAAAATCGATAAGTCACAAAAGGAGCAAGAGTGAGTGGTTGGCAGCTGAGTGTGGTCAGGGCATGTCCCTCGGTGTCGTGTTCCCAGGCAGGGCGTCTCTGCCCTGAGCCCCTTGGTTCAGTTTTACTCTCCCTGCGTGGCCTGTCTGACGCTGATCCGCTCCAAGTCTACATTTCCATAAGTAGCTTCAGTTGCATCCAATAAAACCGTGTCCTGTTTGCTACTTAGTCAAACATGAGAAATCTGTTCTCTCCTGTAAATTAGAGCTGAAAATTTAGCCTGCTTTTTGCCCAGTTTAATGTGTATTTAGAGAACCTGGACTGTGAGAGTCACTGTATGACAGCAATTGTCAGCCGGTGTACGGTGGCTCCTACTGTGCCATGAGAGGATCTGAGGTGTGCCTTGAAAATTTTTAAAGATCATTAATTATTTTCAAAAGAAGTCTAAGGCACAGCAAGTCTCTTCTTTGTTTGTTTGTTTGTTTAGCAGGCCTGGGCCAGGTTTTAACCCATCAGCCCTGGAGCATGTGGCCGGCACCCTAACCACTGAGTTATAGGCGCCCAGCCACTCTTTTTTTTTTTTTTTTATCAACATAATTTAAATGTGCCAGGGAAGTTTAACTATAGGTCCAAGTGTGCCATGAGATTTTAAAAAGTTGAAAAACACTGCTGTATGGGATGCAAAGAAGAAAAAGTTAGACCTTGTTGTCCTCAAGGAGCCCTGGGTCTGGTAGGGAGAAAAGATGAGTGGAGGACTTCAACACAGCTGAACACTGTGCCCAGCCCTGAGAGGCACCAGCATGGCACTGGGAGGGAAGGGAAGGCTTCATGAAGCACTGGTGTTGGAGACGAGCCTTCCTGGGTGAATTGAGCTCAGGAGTTAGTCCTGGAAAGGAGTGCAGGGGACAGCAGACCTGGGCCACAGGGCCTGCTCCAGTGTGGCAGGCACTTCATGATTTCTGGAGGTGGGCCACAGCGTCTGTCACACCTTGTCATGGCGCTGAGGCACTCATCCCTGATTGAATGGGAAATTGAGAGCTGTGAACGAGATGGAACAGGTGAATGGCTCAACAGGTGCCTGCTTTCAGGTGACTCCAGCAGCAGTTTGTGGGCTACTAGGGACAGGAGAGCAACCTGAAAAGGGGCAGGGAGCACAGAGGGGTGGGAAGGATGATCGGCAGCCAGAAGAGCCTGGGAATCCAGGGACTGATTAGGGAGGAGGAGTTAGAGAACTCTGAGTAAGGTCTAGTCATTTCCAATAGCCTTGGTTATGTTCTAAGGCTCATTGTTTTTCTAAGAATTGTATTGTCCCCCAGTCCTTAGCCCTGGATACCAGTAGCCTCAATTTATATTTCTCTATGAGATTAAGGATGGTAATGCATAGATACCTGAGTTTTCAATTTAATTTTAGTTTTGTACTTATAGCTAAAGATTTCATTTTTTTTCTAACCTGTTAATATGTAAATAAATGGTAAAGATATCCAAATACTGTTCTAGGCCCTGAGGATGACCAAGTGAGTAAAGCAGGCCTTGCCCTCATATGGCAGCTTTCATTTTGTAGGGGCTAAGGAATAAAAGACTCAGTGGTGGTCCGAGCTGTGGGGAACAGTGAAGCGGGAATGTGGAAGGGGCAGGAGCAGGTAGGAATGGGGGCTGCAGGTTTGAATAGGGAAGGTCCCACTGAGAAGGCATCATTTGAGCAAGACCTCAAGGAAGCGAGAGAGTGTTTTAGACAGCTGGCATAGTGGATCAAAGGTGGGCGTGTCCTTAACCTGGCAGAGGAAGAGTGTGGAACTCAGTGCAGCTAGAGTGGAATTCAGGCAGGGAGGATGTGAGCTAAGAAAGGTGGTGGGTAGGGCTAGTCCTGTGGGGCAGGGGGACTGGTGCTCCTTTACTTAATGTTTATTTTAAAGACACCACCGCTACTGTCCAAAACAAAATTCATAGATACTAACCTACATAGAGACACAGTTTCAAAAAGAAATACGTTACCCAACTAGTCATCTAAAACTGAAATAACAGGAAAGTAATTTTGATCACATTTCCATAGTCAAACATGTAAATGCCTAGACACACACTGACACCCACCTGTGAGCAGAGGCAGGGCCCGTTGCTGCAGATGGACACAAAGGCAGACAGGTCTACCTCCTTATTCTGGTGGCTAGAGTTCCAAGAGGGTGAACAGTTCTTGGTAATATTTCAAACAAAAGAAGTACAGTCTTAACTGACTTACACAGTATTTACGTTCTGAGAAAGTTCAGTGTATTGTGCAAAAAGTACTTTTATGCTTATGTGAAAAACAGATTATAGGCATGGGATAACTAGGAAAGGTTTTTGGCTGGAAAGAGTGTCTGGCAGAATCTCAGAGCAACCTGCAGTCTGGCAATCTTCGGGTATGTAGCACTACCCAGTGTGCCTGGTCCCCCACACTTAGTGCCTGTATTGTCCCCCAGTCCTTGTGACCACCTGAAAAATGTCCTCAGATTTCCTGAGCATTTCCTAGAGAGCTGTGCCCTTTCAATGGAGACTACTGGTGTAGGGCCTAGTGGCCAGTGTATGAAGGACCCTGGGGTTTTTCAGCCATTAGAGAAATCTGAGCAGAGGGGTGACATGTCCTGGTGTTGTGGACTAAATATCTGTGTCCCCACCATTGCCCCCAAATTCGTATATTAAAGCTCTGACCCTCAGTGAGATGATATTTGGAGATCCGACCTTTGAGATATTCATGAGGGTGGGACCCTCAGGATGGATTAGTGCCCTTATAAGAAGGAGAGAGACCAGAGCTCGCTTGTGCTCTGCTACAGGAGAGCATGGTGAGAAGACAGCCATCCCAGGCCAGGAGGAGAGCCCTCCTCAGAACCCAGCCATGGCGGCACCCTGATCTCAGACTTCCAGCCTCCGGAAGTATGAGAAAGACATTCCAGTTGTTTAAGCCCACAGTCCTCAACACTTGGGCCTTAGACTAACACCAGTCCATGGCCTGTTAGGAACTGGGCCACACAGCAGGAGGAACGTCAGGCAAGTGAGCAAAGCTTCCTTTGTATTTACAGCGGCTTCCCATCCCTGGCTGATACCACCTGAGCTCCGCCTCCTTCAGATCAGCTTAGGCAGTAGATTATTTTTTTTTTGACTCGACTTCTGGTTTAAGCCCCTGAGTCTATGATATTTTGTCAGAGTAGCCTGGGCAAACTCAGACACCTGCCTCCACGTTATAGGATCAGCAGGTGCTGTGCTGAGACTGAACTGAGGGGCCAGGAAGTGGTGTCTGCCACCCTAGTCCAGGCAAGAGAGGGTGCTGCGTGGGCCCCAGTCACAAGGCAGGGGTCAGAGTTGAACAGAAGGCTCTGGTGCTGCACTGGTTGCTGCAGATGGACACAAAGGCAGACCCAGAAGTTGGGTCTTTCCTTGTTTTCCTCACTGTTTGCTTCTGAGCCAACAGACGAGGGGTGTTTTTTTCTTTTCTTTCTTTCCACAATGGTTTGGCAGGTGCCTTTATTCCTGAGCCAAGCATGTGTTGCTGTTCCCAGAAGTGAAGGTTTCTTGCTCCATAGCCGTGAATTACACCTAGGAGACGACATGGGTTTTGTTTGTTTTCTGGGACTAGCTGGAGTTGTCACCTTTTACTTCAGGTGCGACCATCTAAGCCCCGATTTTGTGCC